TTAAAATAGGGTTGCCGGGGCACCTGGGTGGCTCAGTCGATAAGCGTCGGACGCTATTTTGGCTCAGGTCATGAGATAAAGCCCCATGTCAGGCTCTGCACTGGGCGTGGAGCCTACTTAAGATTCTCTCTCCCTCTGCCCCCATGCTATAATAAATAGGGTTGCAAATAGGAAAAGCCTTATTGAGATGGCAACATCTGAAGATGTGGGAGACCCATTCTATTAGCTAAAAAGAGTATTGCAGACAACACACAGAAGTCCAAAGGCTCTGAAGTCTATTTGAGACAGAACAAGAACTACACGGCTGAAAACGGAGGGGGGGAAACTGAGGGCAGGTAGAGTGGAACATGGCACAGAACCCTGTTACACATTCCTGACGGCTTTGGCTTTTACCTAGCAAAATGGGGAGCTATAGGTGTTAAGTAGTAACATCTGATTTTTAAATTTCCTTAGCCTTGTGTGTTGAAAATAGTCTAGAGGGTTAAGATGGGAGTGCAGTCAGACGAATGGGGAAGCTCTGAAATACATGGGAGGGATAGTGTTGTCTTGGTTTAGGGTGGTGATAGGAATAAGGCACTGGATTCTACAGGCTTCAAAGGTAAAACTAAAATAATTTTCTGACAGAATGGATGTTGGGTGAAGGTGGAGTCAAGGACTTAAACATCCGTTAAGAATTGAGTTGCCCTGAGATGAAGACTGGTGAGAAGGGAAGTCTAGGTGGGAAAGTCAGTTCACTTTAGGACATACTGAGAGATTAAACATAAAAAATTAAGGCCCCACAAAACTCTGAAAATCTGCAGGCTGTCCAATAGACCGCTCACAGCATTGATTCACTATTTCTTCATCTAGTCAGTTTGTCTTTTAAAGTAGGGAAATGGAGATTTATCTTGAGAATTACATTTAGAATAATTTACTACATGTGGATTATTCACGGAGTCGTATTAATCCATCAAGAGCAATAAAAAAAAAAAAAAGAGCAATACAGTGCAAAGGTCCACAGGCCCTAAAACCAGATTGGCTGGGCTTGCTATTTTCCTAGAATGACCTCCAGTAACTCAAAGCACTCAGGCTCATTTCCTTGTCTGTAAGGCAAGAAGTTTTGAGTTACTACACAAAAAGTACTGTGCCTAGCTCATTAAGCACTCTATAAATGGGTGTTTTCTCATTTTCCTTATTAGCCTTATTAGGATCACTTTTAGTTGCTAGTGAAAGAAACTAAAGTCAGATAAAGAGAATTTGACTTGAATGACAAAGCTCAGGGTTGAAAATGAATTCAAGAACTAATGGGAGTAGGGGCGTCTGCCTTCGGCTCAGGTCATGATCCTGGGGTCCTGGGATCGAGCCCTGCATCGGGCTCCCTGCTCCGTGGGAAGCCTGCTTCTCCCTCTCCCACTCCCCCTGCTTGTGTTCCCCTCTCTCGCTGTGTCTCTGTCAAATGAATAAATAAAATCTTAAAAAGAAAAAAATTAGTCATGAGAGGGCTGCCAGGTGGCTCAGTCACAAGAGCATGCGACTCTTTCGGGGTTTTGAGTTTGAGCCCCACGTTGGGTGTAGAGATTACTTAAATAAATAAACTTCAGTCACGAGAGCTGCCTGTGCTCACTTTTATTAGTTAAATGGACTGGATGTCTTGAGGAAAGATCTGGTCTTTGTAGGCCAGAAGTCTGATCTAGGAACTGTGAAAATAATACATATGCTTAGACCTAAATATCTGTTAGAAATGGGAATTATCTGAATTACAGAAGAGCCTGGAAAGAATGGGGGTGGGGAAAGAGTTTACCATCAGGTACAGACTATCAGCTCTTAAAAATATTTGCCATCAGGGGCACCTGGCTGGCTCATTCAGTGGAGCATGTGAATCTTGACCATGGGGTTGTGAGTTCAAGCCCCATATTGGGTGTAGAGATTACTTCAAAATCTTTAAAAATAAATATTTGCCATGAGATATATATAATCAGCTATGAAAATATTTAACCTTGATTTACATTTAGTCAAAATTTCTTTTCCACACAGTGTCTTAATATTCAAAATGACAAGTTGGTTGAGACTAGCACGGTTCCAAGTCCAGAAACCAAAATGACAGAAATTGACAACAGTTACCATTTCTTCCCATCAATGCCCTCGTTGGAAAAAGAAGTAGGTAACTGCAGTCCACATTTTCTCAGTGCTTTCGAGGATTCCTTTAGCAGCATTCTCTCCACAGAAGATTCCAGCCAGCTGACCGTGAACTCATTAAATTCAGATGCCACAATTAACACAGATTTTGGTGATGAATTTTATTCTGCTTTCATAGCAGAACCCAGTAGTAGCAACAGCATGCCCTCCTCTGCTACTTTAAGCCAGTCACTCTCTGAACTTCTTAATGGGCCCATTGATGTTTCTGAGCTATCACTTTGTAAAGCCTTCAACCAAAATCATCCTGAAAGCACAGAATTCAATGATTCTGACTCTGGCATTTCACTCAACACAAGTCCTGGCATGGCATCACCAGAACACTCGGCGGAATCTTCTGTCTATGGAGACACGCCACTTGGCTTCAGTGATTCTGAAATGGAAGAGATAGATAGTGCTCCTGGAAGTGTCAAACAGAATGGTCCTAAAACACCGCCAGTACAGTCTGCCGGAGATACAGCCCAACCCCTGTCACCATCTCCAGGGCACAGCGCTCCAGCGCGGGATGCCCAGCGCGAAAACACACCAAAGAAAGAATTGCCTGTGAGCCCTGGTCATCGAAAAACCCCATTCACAAAAGACAAACATTCAAGCCGCTTGGAGGCTCATCTCACGAGAGATGAGCTAAGGGCAAAAGCTCTCCATATCCCATTCCCTGTTGAAAAAATCATTAACCTCCCTGTTGATGACTTCAATGAAATGATGTCCAAGGAGCAGTTCAGTGAGGCTCAACTGGCATTAATTCGAGATATACGCAGGAGGGGTAAGAATAAAGTGGCTGCTCAGAATTGCAGAAAAAGAAAACTGGAAAATATAGTGGAACTGGAACAAGATTTGGATCATTTAAAAGATGAAAAAGAAAAATTGCTTAGAGAAAAAGGGGAGAATGACAAAAGCCTCCATCTACTGAAAAAACAACTCAGCACCTTGTATCTCGAAGTCTTCAGCATGCTCCGTGATGAAGATGGAAAACCTTACTCTCCTAGTGAATACTCCCTGCAGCAAACAAGAGATGGCAATGTATTCCTTGTGCCCAAAAGTAAGAAGCCAGATACTAAGAAAAACTAGATTTGGGAAGATCTGACCTTTTTCTGAGCTAGTGGGTTGTTTGTTTTGGGGATTGTTTTTTGTTTTTTTGTACTGTTATACTAAAAGCTCCTACTGTGATGTGAAATGCAAAAATATACTTTATAAGTAATTCTATGCAAAATTATAGTCAAAACTAGTATAGAAGATAATACAAACTTTAAAAAGCATTAAAATAAGTCATCAGTATGCTGAATCAGTAGTTTTCACTTTAACTGCAAACTTAATTTCTTAGAACACCATTTGGGCTAGTTTCTGTATAAGTGTAAATACTACAAAAACTTATTTATACTGGTCTTATCTCATTTGTTACGTTCATTTATATGGTATCTGGCTAAGAGCAAATTGTTGCAAAACTAACCACTGTGTACTTTTTTATAAATACTGTATGAACAAAAAAGGCATTTTTTTATATTAAATTGTTTAGCTCTGGCAAAAACCAATTTAGTTAAAAAGCTGGTACTAATAAAGGAGTATTATGACTGTTATTTCTTTGGAATTCATTTGAGTTTATTCACACTATCTTCCATAACAGTAACACACTTAACATATTTAAGTATTTTGCATTTTCAGAATGTTTGCATCCACTGAAAATATGAAAAGCATTTTGTACTAAACTTCTGGTCCCAGAGATACCAAGTATATCAAGAAGATATTTTCTCTCTCTTCAATAGCAAGTATATCTCAACCAAGGAGAATACTACTGTATGTTGACATGAAAACATTGATTCAGTTTACTCACATCAGTACATGTATGCCTACCATGTGCTAGATATTTTTTAAAGTACAAAGGACACAGTGGAAATCCCTGGCCTCCTGGAATTGAAGACAGCAAACCTTACACATGCCAGGATTGGGAAGGCCAGTAGAAAGGAAGCATTGCAATTTAAAATAGGGTTGCCGTGGGGCGCCTGGGTGGCTCAGTTGGTTAAGCAACTGCCTTCGGCTCGGGTCATGGTCCTGGAGTCCCGGGGTCGAGTCCCAC